TTATATTTCAAATATCTATTCAATATTAATTTATCTTCATTCATAATTATATAAAATCATTAAAATACGTGTCTAACAAGCGGAAAACTACGTTAGAAGCACAAACTCTATCTCCAACATTTTGTGTGGTACTGATACTATTTCATTATTTTTAAATGAAGAGCTTTTTTTCTTATATTTTTAAATGAAGAACTTTTTCTCTACGATAATTTAAATCAAAACATGGCAAGTAACTGTAGTGTCAAGTTAAAAAAATAATTAATAAAAGAATAATTATTATTATATTGATATAAACATTATGAAGAGGAAATTAAAATCTTAAAAAAAATTAAATATTATTTTACAAAATTTTCTCATTTTTTATTTGAGAAAAATTTTAAAAGCTTACGTTATACCTAAATCAAAAATATTTAAAATGATTTGGAAAAGAAATTCAAATTCCATACAATGATGAATACCATTCAAAAAAAGAAGAGAACAAATAAATTTAAATTTTATTTTTATCGACCGCATTGTATAGACGGAGGTAGGTAACGATTTGGAAAAGAAATTCAAATTCCGTACAATGATGAATACCATTCAAAACAAAGAAGAGGCAAATAAATTTAAATTTTGTTTTTATCGACCCCATTGTATACATTGAGGTAGGTATTGTGATGGCACCAAATTTTGAAAATCGAGTTTACGGAGGAAACACACTTCTTAATAGTAGGAAAGCGTAAAAAAATTACTTAGAGAGATGTCGGTCCATCGGTCTGTGTGTACGCGTGTATCTCAAGTTTGGCTGAATCGATTTTGATGAAATTTTATATGTGCTTTTATTGGTATGAAAAGAAAACTTCCTTTTATTTGGAATAAAATACTTTTTTTTTTTTTTTTTTTGCTAATATATTTCGTGCGCTACATACGCGCGTTATCAAAGCTGATTTTCTTCTAATTAAGACAACAAACAATAAAAATTGATATCTATTAAAATTAGGAATATTATACCTCACTTAATATAATCTACCTGACTTAATCTAGAATTTGATTATTTTTTTTTTTTTTGTTATTATTTACAAACTAAATTTATACCTGTTTTAAACCTTAAAACTGGTCAAATAATTAATTTAAAGAGCCAAGTAGCCGCGTTACCTTCGTCCGTGTTCAGTAAGCAGTCCTTGTTTGATTTGTATATCTGCATGCTTTAATGAACTTCTCTCCTGTGTTTTCCTTTTACCCCTTTTTACAGACCGTATTGTGTAAACAATAGGTAGGTTATGTGATGGCAACAAATTTTGCATATCGAGTTTTCGGTGGGAACGTACTTCTCCATAGTAGGGAAGTGTAAATAAACTATTTTTAGCAACCTGTCGGTCTGTCCGTCTGTCGGTCTGCGTGTGCACGCGTGTATCTCAAGTTCTGCTGAACCGATTTTGATGAAATTTTATATGTAAGTTTATTTCCACCGTGGCACGGATTGATCAACTTTTGAGATATATCAGGCCTCGGGAACTGCACTTTTTAGCGGGCCTGTTTTACATTTTTCAACATTTTGAAGAAAGTATTCAACCGATTTACTTGAAATTTCATATATAAGCTTTGCTCGATCATACGCAAAAATTCCTAACTTTTGGAAGAAATCAGGCATCAGCAACTGGACGTCTACTACGGGCCAAATATACATTTTTGTGTATATAAAGAGAAATAATCAACCGATTTCATTGAAATTTGATATATGAACTCCTCGTATTAAAACAATGAACATATAAATTTTTTGGAAAGATCAGGGCTCGAAAACGGATTTGCGGGCCGATTTTACATTTTTCACCATTTTGAAGAAAGTAATCAACCGATTTACTTGAAATTTCATATATAAGCTTTGCTCGATCATACGCAAAAATTCCTTACTTTTGGAAGAAATCAGGCATCAGCAACTGGGCGTTTACTACGGGCCAAATATACATTTTTGTGTATATAAAGAGAAATAATCAACCGATTTCATTGAAATTTAATATATAAATTCCCCGTATTAAAACAATGAACATGTAAATTTTTTGGAAAAATCAGGCATCGGCAACTAGACGTTTACTACGGGCCAAACATACACTTTTGTGTATATAAAGAGAAATAATCAACCGATTTCATTGAAATTTAATATATGAATTCCTCATTTAAAGCAATGAACATATAACTTTTTTGGATAGATCAGGGCTCGAGAACTGATTTGCGGGCCGATTTTACATTTTTCACCATATCCACAGAACAAATTGATAGAATTTCTTGAAATTTGATATTTGAGTTCTGGTTGTTACCCAAACTAACTGGCGAGCATTTCAGGGAATTCGGGTAGCACAAAGCGAAACTCTACTAAGAGCCAAATTTACATTTTTCTAAGTATATTAACTATAAGCTTACTAATGTCCTAAAAATTGGAAAGAAGTATTTAACAGACATTTTTATAATATTCTGTAACACTTTCATTTAACTAGACAATACACAACGCGGTCGGTTATGTGCTGACCACAGATTTTTTATTTTATGTGCCTTTTTTTTGGTTATGGCACGGATTGATCAACTTTTGGGATGTACCAGACCTCTGTAACTGAACTTTTTTCCGGGCCAGTTTTGCACTTTTGCATTTACAAAGAAAGATAATTATACAATTCAAATTTGTTACAGCAAGTTATTAATTGCCTCATCTGTCAAAAAACCAGTTTAATTGCATTAAACGGGCTGTTAAATGATATAAAACAAAATCGTTATGGCACACAAATATGTATGTAGATATTAAGTCAAATTTTTATTGTATAAAGATTAATAGGTTTTGAAACTATCCTGATAGCCTACTATGAAAAAATGCGAAAGTCGCAAACTTGCGTTTCACAAATGGTTGTTTAATATGTAACAAAATCGCATCGTAAAAAATTTAAACTGGCAGCATTTTCTCAAATTTTTTGTTTTTAACCTTTCTGACAGTTTTTTCAAAGTAAACATTTAATCAAATTATTTTAAAATAGAAATACATTTATATGTGTGTAAAATATTAAGGAGGCAAGAGACTTTTATGTAAGTTAAGATTTAAATATTGTTCTTTCTCAGCAAACCATTCTACTTATTATAACCGAAGTTTTTAAGCCTATAGACAAAAAGTTGAGTCCCATAAAAATAAAACTAGAAAAGAGCAAAGTCGAGAAAGAGAACTGAAATAAATTTGCTGCTATTTTGCTATTTTCTTAAACCAGAATGGTTTTATATTTTATTTTGATCTATAATTATTATTATTGAATATAAAAGTGAAAGTATGTGTAAGTAGCATCCTGCAGTATCACTTTTGCTACTTTCGCATACGAAAATTTGCGATATTCGATTTACATAGTGCCTCGCCTGTCTATTAAAAATGCGAGAATCGTTTAGCGAAAGTAGCACTACATAGTGGCCACGTGGAGCCATTAAAGTAAAATTATGCTATTAAAAAATACATTTTCTTCTAAATGATAAAAAAAAGTCTTTTACATGCAAGTAGATGGAGAGTAAAATGGAACTTTGAAACTTGTTTCAAGAAAACTGTCGCGAAATTAAAATAATGAATTTTAAAAAATTTTGTGGAAGAATCTGAAAAGATTAGGGCTCGTAAATCAAGTTAGGGTCCGATTTTTTATTTTTTGCGATATCTACGGAACGGATTCATTGAATTTCTTGAAGTTTGATATTTATCTTCTAGTTGTTACTGAAACTAACTGGTGACTTTTCAATGCATTCGGTCGGCAGGAAGCGATATTTTACCAAGCCAAATTTACCCTTTTCTAACTTACTTCCTTAAAATTAAAATAAAGTGCTCAAAATGCATTTTCATAATCTTCTGTAACGCTTTCACTAAACTGGGCAAACATTCCGGTCGGTTATGTGCTTACCACATACGATTTTTTTTTCTTATTTTTGACAAACACAACCAATTTTATTTTTTATTTAATGCCAAACTATAAAACTACAAGAGACATAATTTTTAGTTATTATAATTTTTTTAATTTTTATTTTCAAACAAAATTACGTCCGCAAATACAAATAGAATAAGGAAAGGCAATCAAAACAAATAGAAAAAGTCACGCGTAGCTTTAAAACTACAATTTACTTCATTCTTTCATTAGATCAATTGCCGAAAAAGAATGCTTCAAAAGTAGAAGCGAAGCACTTCCTTTGAAGTTAGTAAGGGCTTTTTTCCTATGGAACTCTCATGTATTTTTTACTTTACATGTATTACCTAGCAGGCAATATCATTCAAGCTTTCTGAAGTGATTCGTGAAAGGTCAAATGGCAACGAACCCCGTCAGCGAGAAAATTTTTGTTTTTTATATACATATGTACATACAAATTTAAAAATAAAAGTTTATAAATAAAAAAAAATTTAAATTAAATTTTCAATAACATGATATTTGTTTTTAATTTGTATGGACGTAGCTACTTTATAATTCGAGTTTTTATTTCATTTGCTTTTTATTTTAATTGTTTTTCGCATTTATTACTTGCTCTGAAAATTTCTACCGCTCGCGAGAAATAATAATACTATAGTCTTATGTGATGTCAAGGCTGCGTCGCAGACTTATTCAACTTGTTTGTATATAATTAAATCTATCAAAAGTCAAAACTATTTATTTGAAACCCAAAAAATTCTTTGCAAAATATACGTACGCTTATTCTTAGCATATATGCATGACCAAGATAACAATATCTGCATGGAAGGCAAGACAAAGACTTATTTAAAGGTTTCAATTGACAAGAAGGCTTGCCTAACAATTATAAGGATCTACTAGAACTGTTTCTTAAATACTATGATTCTGAGGGGATTTCGACTAAGGATGCTAAAGCTGACTTAGAAGCTTATCGGCTTCAACTTGTGAGTAAAAGACGTGAATATCTGCAGAAAATAAGGGAAAACGAGCATAAGTTTTTTCGTCCCTGCACGTCAAAATAATCTCATACGTTTAATTGACAATACCAATAAGAGTGTTAAACTCCTTAATATGTTTTATCATAATTGCAGTGGTTTGAGAGGTAAACTAAAAAACCTTTTTATTGACGCCAAATCATGCAATTTTAATATTCTAGTCTTCACTGAAACCTGGTTGAACGATTCATTCAAAAATGAAGAAATACTTGATAGCACTTGGTCCGTATATAGAAATGACCGTGATTATAATTCCACGGGTCAATCTAGGGGGGGGGGGGGGGGGGGGGCGGAGTTTTAATCGCCACCAATAATCATGTACCAAGTCAATTGGTATCTTCTAGGTTTTTTTCAACTTTTGACCATCAATTTATTAAAGTTCACTCAGGTAAGAATTATACCTACATAGGTGTGGTGTACTTTCCCCCAAATTCTGACGAGTCCTCATACAATAATTTCTTTACAATAAGTAACGATATATTCACGATTATGAATGAGGATGATAATATTGTAATTTTGGGTGATTTCAATCGACCATCATTATCTTTTGCCATCGATGATTTTGATAACCAACTTCTTCCTATCAATTTCATGGATGACATAGATTTTGACCTTATTAGTACTTTTTATGGGAACGACTTACAGCAGGTTTTTTGTTACCCCAACAGTAGAGGTAATTGGTTGGATTTAGCATTTTCTAATGCTTATGACACCATTAATGTTCGTTTTGCCACTGACGAAGAAAATCTTTTCCGAAACTCAATCCATCACAACGCGTTGGTTTTAGAACTACCCTATTCCAACCATAAATTCTCAAATACTTACAATAACGAAATTGTATATGATTTTATGAACGCTGATTACCACGGTATCAATTATGCCCTTAGTATAATTGATTGGGAAACGTTGTTGGAGCAGCATAATTTAGATAATATTATCTATGATTTTTATTCCATTATCTTTGAAATAATTGACAACCACGTTCCGAAAATCCGTAGAAAAGACAAATTAAAAGAACCTTGGTTAGACCGTAATTTAAGACATTTACGCAACTGGAGAAATAAATTGTACCATAAAATTAAGCACTCTGGTAATGACAACAACTCACTTATAAATGATTATAATCAGTTGGCGAATGAATTTAAGATTAAGGCAAACGAGGCATATGATAATTATGTCCAAAATATCGGTAACTCAATAATGAGCAACCCTAAAAAGTTTTTCGACTTCGTTAACACTAAACGTAAATCATCAGGTTACCCGATTTCGATGTGTATGAATGGCAAAATGTCTTCATCCCCCACGGAAATTTGTAACTTTTTTGCTGACAACTTCCAGCAAATTTATCGCCCTGAGTTACACTCTAATAATGTTAATTTCAATCCTGCACCCCTTGTTAATAATACCAACCCGCTTTTCGAATACTTTTATTTATCGGTAGAAAATGTTTTTCAGGGCATCAGTAGTCTGGACGTTAAGAAGGGATCTGGTCCTGACCTTCTGCCACCAATATTTCTTTACAATTGTCGCTACACCCTGTCAAACCCTCTTACCTCAATATTTAACAGATCTATATCCACCGGAATTTTTCCATCAGCTTGGAAAAATTCATATCTGATACCAATTCACAAAAAAGGTGACAAAACAGCGATAGAAAACTACAGAGGTATTGCTATTCAGTCTGCTATCCCAAAATTATTTGAAAAATTAGTTACTAATATACTTGCACCGGTCATCAATCCATTATTAAATAACGAGCAACATGGTTTTAGAACTGGTCGCTCGACAACCTCAAATCTTACAGTTTTCACATTTGACGTTCTTTCATTAATGGAAAAAGGTTTTCAAGTTGATACGATATATACGGATTTCAGTAAAGCTTTTGACCGCACCGATCACAATACCTTGGAGCGTAAACTAGTTAATTTTGGTTTTAAGTTCCCTCTACTAGGTTGGCTCAAATCTTACTTCTCGGGGAGAACCCAATTCGTTAAATTCCAGGGGATTAAATCTAAACCTATTCGCGTTCATTCCGGTGTTCCTCAAGGAAGTCATCTAGGCCCTATTCTTTTCAATGTCTTTATTTCTGACCTCTCTCATTGTCTATCGGGTATTTCTCATCTAACCTACGCTGATGATTTAAAAATGTACCACGTTATAAATGATACATCTGATACTAACTACCTACAAACGAAATTAGTACTACTTGATAACTGGTGCAGTGCTAATAAATTAGCACGCTTTTCACGAAAGCGTTCAATCGTTTGCCAAAATTATTATCTTCAAAACTCCACCTTAGAACGCGTCGACCACATAACTGACTTAGGTATCATTCTAGATAGCAAATTAAATTTTAATGCACATTATGATTATATGATTTCCAAAGCAAACAAAATGCTGGGATTCATAAAGCGTAGAGCCAGTGAATTTAACAATATCTGTGTTACAAAATCACTTTATTGTTCTCTGGTTCGCTCTATTTTAGAATACGGCAGTATTATTTGGGATCCCGCTTTTGTAACACATAGTAATAGAATTGAATCCGTCCAAAAACAATTTCTCCTTTTTGCTTTAAGAAATCTTTACGATCCACGTGACTTTCACAGTATCCCTTCCTACAAAGTTAGGCTACAGTCCCTAAATATGATTAGCCTTGAATCTCGCCGTTCTATGCTTTCTTCGTGTTTCACGTTTGACGTTATAACTGGCGTTATAAATGTCGAATTCATTAAAAGAAAAATGATTATCAATAATGACGTCAGGCCTACTAGACACACTAAATTTCTAAAAGAACAGACACATAGAAGTGAATATGGTAAAAATGAGCCCATTAATAGGTGTTGTACTGTATTCAATCGTTTTAGCTATCTTTTTTCACCTACATATTCCAAGAACACTTTCAAAAAAAAAATTCTTGACACTTTATACTAACCATAACCTACCACAATTTTTAAGTAATTAAGTAATAGTTTTTTTAATTGTCATAAGTAGAAACATTTTTGACTTTTTTTAGTAAATTTTTTGTAATATCATATTACACTATATTGTACTTTGTTATAATTTATGTTTTTTCTTTTGATTCACTTTTGTTTGTTATACTTAAAATTTCTAATTTTGCTGCATCAGCAGTTATGTATTTATTGTTTGTAGGTTAAATATTAGTAATATTTTTTTTCTTGTTTCCTGTATTAAGTATAAGCAAATTTTTTTTGTATTTTGTATGTAATAAGTTTCTTTTGTGTAAATTAATATAAATTATGTTAGCACCTTGTTTGGTGTAAATAAATAAAAATAAAAATAAAATAAAAAATATATGTTGTTTATCTCATTTCGGTTATTTATGCGTTACTTATAAAATTGTTTCAAGTAATTTCAGTTAGTTTTTAAGTTATTAAAAATAAATATATATGTACCTACTTCCAATAAATTTTTTTTAAATAATTATTTTAAAACTATTTCAAACATGTTATATTGAGTGCTTCAAAAATTTTGCTGTGCTCTTTTTTCATATTTTATTAGCAGGTAAACAAGAGCAATCTATTTATAAAATGGCCCTGCCTGTGTATGAATCTTAATAGTTAACGCAAACGGACAAAAATTTACATCAGTACCTACTACCTGTCATTTTGCAATCGGAGTTTTTGAGTCATTTGCTACTCGTAAGATAATATTTCAAAAATAAAAAAAATATTCGAATCCGGTGATAAAATATATTATTGTCTTTTCCAAAACCTTTCAAATATTTTTTTACTTAGGTAAAAAATTTTCTCGCAAATAGAGGTAAAATTTAGAAGTGTATATAAAATTTGTATTTAAAAAATAATATTTGATTGTATTTTAGATATTATTTTCTAATTCCCTCTTAAAATTTTTTCTTTACTATGTATTTATATCAATATTCAATAATTATTTTTCATTAATTATATTTTCAACTTGACACTACAGTTACTTCCCATATCTTGAGTTAACTTACCCTATGAGAAAAAAAAGCTGTTCACTTAAAAATAATGAAATGCCTTCAGTAACATATAAAACGTTGAAGGCGAAGGTTGGGCTTGTTGTTTTTCCGCAATTTCAAGAATTTTAAAGTGGTTATGAATGAAAATATTAATATATTTTCTTGATTTTTCAAATATATTTTTAGAATTTTACCTGCTTTATAATAAGTGTAAATTTATTTTAATATTTCTTCTCAAAAAATAGCCATATAAAATAAGATTTAAAAAAAACCCATATAAAATAAGGTCGTGCTTTCAAGTTTCTCTCTGAGCATTGGGACTTGTTAGATATAAAGACATTATTTAAACAAATAAAAACAAACAACATCTCAATTATTTTACTATTTCTATTTACAAGATGTTAATAGCAAGTCAGTAGTTATTTAAAGTTTACCTGGGATTAGAAGACATATTAATGACCACAATATGTAAAAATTATAATATAAAATTTTTGAATATATTTAGGATGGTCATTCAAAGTACTAAAATGGCATACAATTGTTTATGCTAAAGTTTTCCGGCATATCTTTAATAAAATTTGAATTTTGTTATAAAATGTACAAACTATTAAATAACAAGCTACTCTGCTATTCCAATTTCCAGAGATGATTGAGAAACTGATAAAAATGACCACTATTAATTATATTAAGAATATAATATCAGATCACAGGTCTTCTAGGATCTGGACCCTTTTGAAAACTAAAGTTTTGCTAGACCAATCCTTAAAAAACTTTTCGTAAACAACAAGGGGGCTTTTAAATTCGTTTTATTTACATAAGCTCCGTTCCTTTACTACTTGATAAATAAAAATCCAATTTGGAAATTGATGGATACAAGAGCTTCTTTTTAATTACAATTAATTTATAAACAAACCCATTTGTAGTATACTTGATTACCAAAAATCAGTGAAAAAGTAATGAGAACCATATGAGTGGTATTTAAAGCTGATAATTTAAAAGAATTAGAATATAAAACGAATTGTCAACTAAATAAAATTGCCAAATGGATGACTAAGCAAATGATCATTATAAATGCAGGAAAAATTAAATATAATATTTATTGGCTAAATAAAATCGGAGTTAAATATTTTCATAAATGATCAAAAGTTGGAGCATGCAGCAGATTCTTGCTTGAAATGGGACGGTCACATCTGCAAATTAAGTACAAAACTCGCAGGGGTAGTTCAGGTTTTCAAAAGGATATCTAAGTTTATTCCGGAAAAAGTCAAGAAATCTGATTTTTATTCTCTATTATATTGTCATGTAAGTTATGGAATCAAAATATAGCGTACAACTAAAAAGGAAATCATTAACAGTGTTCAAATAATACACAATGGGGCTATAAAAAGCCTTTTCAACTACAATTTTCTCGAATGAACAGAAATTGTTCTCCAAAAATGAAATTCTTTTGATCCGTGATTTGGTACAAATCAAATTAATATTACATATTCATGGACTTTGTAACCAAGGGATTCGCACTTCGATTTTGTTGGTAAGAAGAGGTTCAATACATTCCATAAATAAAAAAAACAGGAACTTACAAGTTAGCAAAGTTACAATGGTAAAAACACAGGAAACTTTAGAAGTTCTACTTCAATGCATTTATCAATCAACTTTTATAGCAGTTTTAATAATGACCGGGAACTCCTTAATGTTCTACAAATCAAAATGAACGATATGTTGAGTCAGTATAATGGCATTTTTTAATATAGTAATTTCTTTTGTTTTTTTTCGTTTTTAGTTCTTGATACTTAATTAACTTCACAGGCATTTGAATTGTTATCTTTAAAATTTTCTTTTCATTTTAGTTTTATTGCAATTTTATTCTGATTAATTGCTTCCCCTTAATTTTAAATATAATTATAATTTCAGTTGACACTGAATTTTTTGAATCATTGAAACGATATTTGAAATGTATAGTCTTTTTAGCAAAAAATTTTTGAAAAAAAGTTATTATTTGTTTCACTCTGTCCTTCCGCCCCTCCGTCTGTCCGTCCGTCCGTCCGTCCGTCTGTTCGTGTGTCTGTTTACAAAACTTCTACACCCTTGAAGATAGAAAGCTGAAATGTACGTACATAGATCTTTACTAGAAACTTATTTCCGTCGAACAAAATTTTTACCTATCTCCCCCCCTCTAGAAGTTATACCCCCCAAAACCTTAAAAATGGCCTTTTTTAACTATTTATTGCACTGAAACCATAAGCATTTTTGAAATTTTGCAAACGCATAAAGGCAGCGGCTTGCTTCTCCTATCGTGGTATACTATAGTTAAACTTTAGAAAAACAAAATGGCCGTTCAAATTTACCGTTATCTAAAGTCCTTTTTTTCCAAATTTTTGATTTCGTTTTTCTTTTAGACCCCAGCCTGTAGAAGCTTGAAATTTTAGGGGCTTTTAGACATTGGCAAGTAGTTCATTTTGCTGGAAGAACATTTTTTTCATCTCTACCCCCTCTCAAGTTATCGCCTCTTGAAATTTGTAAAATTTGAAATTTTGACACCTTATATTTACGAAACCGCAAGCTTTTTCAAATTTCTACAAACACTAAAAGAAAACGGTAAATTCCATGACACTAAAAAAATGTCATGGAATACCTGTCATTTTACAATCGGAGTTTTTGAGTCATTTGCTACGATACTATTTACTTCAAAAATAAAAAAGATATTCGAATCCGATCATAAAAATATATTATTGTCTTTTCTAAAACCTTTTAAATATTTTTTTACTAATATATTATGTTTTAAAAATTTTTCTGAAATAAAAATAGAGGTAAAATTTAGAAGTATATATAAAATTTGTATTGGAAAAATAATATTTGATTGTATTTCAGATATTATTTTCTAATTCCCTCTTCAAATTTTTTCTTTAATATGTATTCATATCAATATTTAATAATTATTTTTCATTAATTATATTTTCAACTTGACACTACAGTTACTTCCCATATCTTGAGTTAACTTACCATATTGGAAAAAAAAGCTGTTCACTTAAAAATAATGAAATGCTTTCAGTAACATATAAAATGTTGAAGGCGAAGGTTGTACTTCTTGTTTTTCCCTTTTTTGTATGTATTTCAAAAATTTTTTTATTGCATACTGCAAAGAAATATGCATGTACAAATTTTTTATATTTATTAAATATAAAAAATATGTGAAATATGCATTTTTCGCATGTTTTTTAAACACGTTTACTACGTTTTGTTGGCAAAACTATAAGGAATAGAAGAAAATGTTATATGGGTTAACTTTTAGATCTCCTTGTGGTGCATCGAAAAAAAACAAAAAAGTAATAGCACAAATTTTCGAAAAAGTTCGAGGTTTAAAAAAAAAAATTTAAAAAAAAAAAACGAAAATTCTGATTTTGACGAACTTTATTTGGAAAACTACGGTACAGATCAAATTAATTTTGCGACCAAAAATAAAAAGCAATCGATTGCCATTGCAACAGGCACCCCCCCGGGTTATTCTATGTCGCATGGTTCTGAAGCTTTAAGCATTTACTCATATGCAAGAAAAATATGGTACCTTTTTATCAACAGGCTGTAATTCGAAAACGAGTATATCTGCATCCTCCTTCTCCCCTCTTCCCTACCCATCCACCAAATCCCTCTCTCTCCCTACCAATCTGTTAAATTATTTGCCACTTTATTCGAAACACCCTGTATATGTATGTATGTGGAAATAAATTTTAAAATCATAATCACATAACAAGTTTTCATGGCAATGCTATTTACTAAGTATTCCTTCTATCGTACGATATAATGGACTTGGATTTAATATGAAGATATTTTCAGTGAAGTCGTAGACGTATAAATAACGATTTTTTGAATAAATTAAAAAAGAAAGTCAAATTAAAGTTAAGCTGAATTCTTTTAAACTATAAGATAAAGATATTTTTAAACTTAAAAACTAAAAACATGTATGCATGTATATTTTTGTATATGTGTTATTCATTTTATCGAAAGTGACAGCACTCTTCTGGTATATGTCCAGAAGCAGGGTCATTTTGTTCCCGTGTATGGAGAAAACATTGTTCTAGAAATAAATCAGCCTCATTAAAGAATATATTGCGAAAACTTTATGGTTTAAGTCATTTAAAGTTGCTGGCATTTAAGCTTAATACAGTCAACGTATTTAGAATGTTCGTACAAAGTACAGAAAATCGTTTTGACTTTTGGTTCGTAAAATACCACAGGCGTCATCTAAAACCAAAAAATTATCAAACCCTTCACAATCCACCCTTCCTGGTATAACTTATCATTCCAAACTCTACTGCACCGAATTAAAGTTTTATTTCAGATTAGTTTGACTTTCGGTCCAGGCAAGTAGTGCATCATTTCTCTTTATCTTGGGGTCAGTAATGGGGACGTTAAATTTTAGAAAAAACAAAATGAATCCGGTACTCACCAAAAACCGGAAATCAATAATGCATCCTCATAACATCAATAAGCCAAGAAACCAGAGGCGAGTATTTGACATTCTACAAACCAAGAGCAGCCATTACAGAGAACGTCGACTTCCTTTTGGAATTCGAAAAGTGCTGACCGAATTTCTGAAGGAAAAACGCTTCACTTAAAGATGTACAAAGACCATAGTGGAAAAGCGGCAGGTAAAATTCGAGGAGGCAAAGAAAAAATATAGATGCATAGAGGCCTATGCTAAAGAAACCAAGAAGTTGCAACAACTCAGCAAATTATCGAAAAGGACTACATTTGGATTAATCTCCAAACCGATCAACGAGATCCCCAAGAACCGCGGCTATGGCAAACCAGACTTAAAATGATAGAAGAATGTTAGTTGAAGGTTGGAGGAAAGTAGAGAGTCTAGTGACAAACTTTCCTCAAGTAATGAAGGAGAATCCGCATCCGAACTCCTAATGCAGAAACCACGGTTGCTATTAAAAGATCATCTACAGACTTTTAGAAACCCTAACAAACTTCAAAAACTCGTATAGAAATTTGGTGATACCTAAGGTTCCTACATACCCCAGCACAACTTGAAATTTAGTTTGTTGGTACAGCTACACAGGTCATAAATAAAGCTACAAAATCGGTATTCCCTGCAACTCGAAGAACTCGTAGAAGCGAATTCAGCAGAGCAAAGCCAACTGTTAGGAAAAGTACCGATCAGGTTATCGAATAAATCGAGTTCATCAGGATCTCAGCTTGAGAAAGCGATAAAGTCGCTAAGAACAGAGACAACTACTTTTACAACGGTTAGTTCCATCTTATTTATCATTTTCATCACATATCATTTATTGCATCTAATGAACCCGTTCAGGAGAAAACGCAAAGTTTCCACGTTTGCGTCCTTCAACTGTAGAAAGTATTAAAAAAAAGTAAAGTTCAACTGTGGAAGGTATACTATCGGACACACGGAGTCGACAAAAGATTCGAGTATAACCAAAGCCCAAGACAAAGGAAATCTCTGCTTGAAAGAGTCTCTCTGCTTGGCCCTAAAAAGTGAAGTTTTCCAGTTAAGGGCAGAAAACGAGAAATTAAAAATGAAAAGCTATGCCCAATAGAAGCACTACACCAAACAAAAGCACTATGCTTAAGTACTAAGGTTACACATCAAGAACAACATAGAGTTACATACACAACAGATGAAGAAACACTCACGCGAGAAACGGATTGGATTCTTAAGCGAAAGAGGTAAAGGCAGAGTCATTACCGGAAGTAGTTCAACAAACGAAAAGTGTGGAGGATGCGGGTGTTCCTGATTCAAAAGGTGGTAATGATACTGTGAGGAATTTCAAGCCACTCCCTGTAATCATAAGCAATGTGGTTGATTACAATCAAATATAATCCTTATTAAAAAATAGAATTATTAAAAAATAAAAATGTGACCTACAAAGTCAGGATGATGAACAATAAGCAGTTAAAGCTTGTTGTAGATATGGAGATGAACTACAGGAATATCATAAGGATATTGAATGAACCACGGATGGAATGGCATGCATATGAAAATAAGCAAACCGGACCAATCAAACTTATAGTAAGAAATCTTCATTCAACATTCAAGCCGGAAGGTATAAAAGATGACTTACGATCTAGGAATTATAAAATTCTAGACGTATTAAATAAAGTTGAAATGGTAAGACATTCATGAGGAGAACATAAAGTGAATCTATGAAATAAAACAAATCAATCATATGAAAGTTAAGATTGAGGCTATATGAAAGGAAAAGATCATTCGTCAGTGCCAAAGATGTCAAAGGTTTGGACATACACAAAAATTTTGCCAAAGGGAACCGAATTGTGTGAAGTGTGCAGACAAACATCTTACTGCGGAGTGCACCAAACCAAGTAGCACTGCTGCAAAATGATCCAGTTTCCTGGAGACATATCCAGCAAACTATAGAAGATGTCTTGTAGCTGAAGAATTGCCGAAACGGAGGCACCAAAACAACAATCAAAAGAAAGGCAAATCCCCGAAGCGCTTCATTTCCATTATGGTGTCCGAAGGTGTATCATATAAGGATGCATTGCAAAAGAAGAGCGATAGCTTACCAGTTACCGCCAAAAAATTGCCAATATGAGGTTTATTTTTTTTTATAGGAGGAAATCACAGAAATGAGCTATTCAACGCTGCTACATCCGGGGGCACAGGGTTGAAGTACTGTGCCATTCGAAAGCACTAAAATCTCCTGTCAGATCTTGCAAATTAAAACTAGGTCTAAGGACTAGACATTAATACAAATTTATCGGTCGAAAGCTTTTATAGACATCTATAATTCACCTATATTCCAATAAGAATACTTGATGAATAATAGATCTTAACCTAACACAGTTCAAACGGTTTCGTCCGTTTAAATCGTCTTTAAAGTTAAACAAAATTTTGATCGTGTTCTAATCGTGCTACTTCGTTATTGGCGTGATGAGGTAAACGAAATCTATGGCGTGAATCCCTCTTCTTTATCTCATCCGTTATAAAATGGATCCTAAAAAATGTGTGTATTGAGAACATACCAAGGGGCGTTGACAATGTCGCGTCATACCCTATTTTTAAACCTTTGAATAGCTTTAATATGGGTTTGTTTGGCACCACCCCCTTTTCTGAATACCGTATGCCCAGACTGGCTTTAATATTTAATTATAGATCAATATTTTGTTATACGTTGAAAGCGGGCATTTTCTGCCAATTAGCAAATTCAACTTTGTGTATTTGATGTAATTCAATGCCAACGCGAGCTGATGAGAATATTTTGGAGGCCTTGCAAACAATGATGCCAAACATGATTATAATAATGGGTAAAATTACCGATAAATTGACTGCTATTGAAGGTAGGTTTTCTGATAAAAATACAAAAACAAATAAAATGGGAAGATAATGCCGCAAAGTGATTTTGACGTAACGACTTGAAACTGCAACGATGTCGTAATCACTGAAAAAAACGCATGTCTAAAGTGACTATAAACCATTTCAAAGTTGATATTTCTAAAATATTAATATTTTTGCTCAAAGTAAAAATAATTTTTATCTTTATATGATATAAGCACATTTTACTGCTTCCTGTAGTTAAAATAAAGCTAGGAGAGAATATATTCATAGCAATTTCGTAAATAATCCAATATTTTTTTATATAAATGTTGTAATAAAAAATTATGATAATAGCTCTTTTGGCAACAACGCTTTTTGTTTTTCAAAATAAAATGTGGCTGAATAAAAAATGTATTGATGAACAAAAGTTTATCGGTATTCAAAAAACGTTAGCATATGAGAAAGAATTTATTTGTATTGTGCCATAAAAGTGATGCTAAACTGGTTCAAATATACCAACACGCACAATATGTAAATATTAGCAATAGAATAATTTTTACTGGTCCCTCTAAATAGTAAATATATGTACAAGTACATACAAACAAATGTCATAAAATTATATCATTATAAAAATGTAAATGAAGTACAGCTACCAAGTAAATATTAAAATCTCAAAAAGGTAATTATAAAAATATTGCAAAGAGCTACTCATATGCGAGTATTACTTTTTATACTAAAATACATACATATATATCACATTAATTTTATAAAGTAATATTGAAATATGAAACAAAGTGTGCACTTTTGAGATACATTTTCATGTATTTTATTGTAGCCTATTCAGAAATATTTTTTATTCTAACTAGATAATTTGTTTTCATAAACAACTCAAAATTATAACTGATTTGAAAACATTATATGTATTTCTAAAACTGCTTTGAAATATATTTAAAATAAAAATAAAGAGGTAGGAAATACATTTATTTCAAAATTAGTTATAAAGTATGGTTATTATTAGTTATAAGTATAAAGTTCTGATTATAAAAAATATGTAATTTAGATAAAAATTTTTTTCTCCGTATATAAATATTGCAAAGGGGTACTTTTATATTACTTCTTATACTAAAATATGTATCACATTAATATTATAAAGTAATATTAATGTGAAAATAAATATAAAGTAATATTAAAATGTGAAATAAAGTGTACGCCTTTAAGAAACACTTTTACATTTGAAAGTGACCTTATTGTAGCCCATTCAGAAATATGTTTTATTCTAACTAGATAATTTATTTTCATAAACAACTCAAAAGCATAACTAGTTTGCAAACATTATATTTCCAAAACTGCTTTGAATTATGTTCAAAATAAAAATAAAGGGGTTAAAAATATATTTATTTCAAAATTAGCTATGAAGTGTGGTTGTCGTTATTTCGGATATAGTTCGTGTCTATTCTGGTTACAAAAATTATCTAATTTAGATAAAATTTTTCTCAGTATGTGAATGGAAATAATTAATTTCTTGACAGTGGTACAACATTTCGTATATCGTCGGATCAAGCCTGAGCACCTAAACACAGGGGCGCTACTGAAAACTTGAAAACTCTTTTTTTTCTAATTAAATTGAAGTATAAAGTATGTACCTACAAACGTTATACTTCATTTCCAACAATATAAAAATCGTACATGAAAAAAAAAATCAACTACACATAAAATACGACATGGATCTGTAATATTTATACAATACTCGTATAAGAGAAAGTGTTCATACAATTATGTAATTATATAATTGTTCATATCTACATACATACATATTATCGCTTGAAATAATCCGCAGAGCGAAGACATTTTTTTCTAAACCATTCTTTCAAACTGCTCCTGCAGTTTTGTTGCATCTAGATGTGGTCAATTTATTTTTCATCGAGATAACTACCATTTTCCTGTCTCTGTACCGTTCTCCGTCGAGACTACTGCGTTTTCTGTTGTGTCAAGAGAGCAGCTTTAATTTTCGTAGAGCTGATTTTGGACTGTTGAATAATTTCTTATGCTCGATTGATTACAGCTAGATTTTCATGCTTGATGCGGATGTCGACGGTTTTCTGCCTAATGTTTATTTCTGTGCCTGTAATTAAGGATAGGATACGTGTGACTTCGCCCCCTTGGTATGACGCTGAGTTTCACATTGAGAGGAATTCTGCTTAGTGTGCTTTTGTGACATCGGGGTCAGCGGGAGATCCTGTGCCACTTTTCCAGTACTTATGTTTCGGTTGGTGGAGATGATAGTTTGTCTCCGGATTTTGAGGCTGCTGATCATTTTCATTTTGGTGGTATTTTTGCTCTTAGTGGTATTTTTTTGGGTACTGATGATGTTCTGCTGGCTATCGAGCAGTTATGTTGTGACTGGTTTCCTGGTCTTGATGGGATTCCGGGAGTAATGTTTTCTTGCTTCTTTATTTAACCTACCCCTGCTTGGAAGGAGTCGTATGTTGCGCCGCGCAAAGAGAAGGGGCTATCCTAAAATATGGGCTATCCTTAGCTCTTGGAGAGCATTTTTTTTAGGTACTTCTGTTATTCATTCCTGTCAACACTCATACTATTAACATTATACTATCCCGATATTGATCAGTGGTTGAATTCATTGGGCAGAGTGGCTTATTTGAATATGGTTACTGGTATGGTTAATTCCAAGTTTACTAGTTACTAACACAATATTTTTTTCTTACAATAATATTCTTAAATACATGGTGATTCAGTAATCAGTGCTTAACATATTTTGGTTATCGAAAATTAACAAAATTTTTGTCCAGGATTAGTTGTTAAATCTCAAAAGTAGCAATTTTTATCTCATAAGACTCTTGTAGAGCTATATTAAGAATTCTTTAAGAATATTACTCTTATAATTTCAGTCTTGTAGAAAACTACAAGACCCTAATGAGATCTTTATAAGACAAAGGAGCGCAATTACTAGAGTCATTAATTCTTGTAATGAGAGTTAAGCTCCCATTAAAAGAGTTTTTAAAGCATATAACTCACATACCAAAACTAGTATGAGAGTTACGAAAACTCTCACAAGCCACTTATAATAGTGTTACTAGAAAGAGAAAGCAATACATTGTAGAATAAATATATCGATCTTACTTCAAACTTTATAAAATATATATCTATTCCACTTTTAATAATTGTTTTTTTAACAAAAATGAAACAAAATATACATATGTTTGCGTATATGATATTTAATCAATAAATATTTATATTCAAAAACTTAATATCGTAAAATTATAAATATGGGAAATTAAAATCATTGTTTTGCCATGATTGTATATCAAAAAGTTGCTGGCATTAAAACTTTATTGATAAAAGTTGATGTTGTACTTCGAAAAAAAGCAACGCCAACTTAAAATAATTAAAATTTAAAAAATTTTTAAACATATTTTTTAACCCTATAATATCTTATTTCTTTTTTTTTACATAAATTTGAAAGTAACTAAAGCTTTATTATATTCAAAAAAAAACTATAATTTTGCATTTCATTAACTTTAATTTATTAATTTCTGTACAATAAATATTTTTCGGTTAAAATTTGTATAAGGAAAGATGACAATACTAAAATGGCCGTGCGTGACAACTAGACTTATAAAGGAATTCTTTTAAGAACAAAATTCTATAAGAGTTGACATCTTATAACAAATACTTTATGAGAATTAAAATTTTTCATGGCTTGCTGAAAGTAATTTTGCTATGAATGTAGCAGAATTTTTAACACTAAAAGTGCTAAGTTTTTAACACTAAGTGCTAAGAGTTGAAAAAAACCAAAAAAAAGAAAAAAAAATTATGAGAGTATGGAGCGTGGTATGAGAATTTTATGAGAGTTTTGTTCAATTTTTTAGGGTATTACTCTTAAAAATTGTTAATTGGGCTAAACGGTTTCAGAGGTATAGAGAATTTAATGAATTTTTACAGTTCTCAATACAACGTGTAATTGTTTATATTTATTATTAATTTTTATAAGTGTTACTAATGGAAAATTCTTCATACAACTGCAAAACAGACGATGACATAATTAAAGGAACGAGTCAATTTTATTGAAAAATTTTTTTTCCTCAAACTGGACTAGAACTAGGGACATACAGCTTTCTAGGCGAACGCTCTACAAACTGAACTACAGAGGCATATAGAAATTACCGGCGAACTGTTCTTGCTTTATACTGTAATTTACATGTTTACCAAGTATTGTATATACGACAGGCTATATTTAATCTTCTATTTGAATCGCATAATCACAAGAATATATAAATAGGCGTTATGCCATCGGAGTTGGGTTTTTATCATGAGCTATAGAACTTGTTTAACCATATGTATGTACGAAGCATTTATAACGTATGTGTCATTTGTGAGGCCAATTTTGAAGTATACTTGTCAAGTTTGGGCAACCTATCCACCTAGTGGATATTTATTGTATTGAATGTGCTCAGAAGATATTTTTGCGATTTGATTTGAGACGTTTAGGCTGGTTTGGTCTTTTACGATTGCCGCTTTATGAGATTAGGTCGATGTTGATCAATTTCCAGTTATTGATCAACATCAACTTAGCTTCATCATTATCAGAGGCCACCCTGGCCTCCCCATTGTTCCCCATTGTTAGGGCTTGTTTGTTAAGGATAATGTAAGGCATCTTAAGGCGGTTGAGGTGTGCAATGTTCGCTATTATTCTACAGATATGTCATTTGTTTGACTATTTCCGAAAGAAAAGATTATAAGATTTAATATCTGATTTAATAAAAATAAAATTGATACATTAGTTTAATCTTTTATATCACATTTTACTTTACTCACCAAATGTTTCAGATATGTGTATCTATAGTGTATTCTATCAAATGATGTATTAAAATGCTGTTTACAGTTTTCTTTGGAATTTTTAGCTCAGTCAAAATATTGAAATAAAAGGAAAATGCTCTGACAAAGAGAAAGAGAACCAATTTACAGTTTTTTTAAATACGAGTAAGCATTTCCAAGAAGAAAAAACTAAACATTTGTTTAATCCCCTGGCTTTAATAGCATGTGGTATGAATCACTACTACTTTTGTACAGTGTAAGTAAAATACTGTAACATGAGATAACAACAAAATGACATTTTTACATTTTGCCCACTTTTTTACTTTAAAAATTAACACATATATTTTCCTAAATTCGAAATACATATTCATTTCGTATATCCATACTAGTCGTTTTCTTTTTTCATAACTTGAATAATTACACTACGTTTCCTTCCTCTTTCCAATATATTAAATTTGAAGTTTTGTAGTTGTGAAATTTCTGTCTTCCTTTTTGAATCCAATCTATAGAGTGCAATAACATACCAAACGGAAAAACAACACAAAAATATTTATTTTTTTATGATAGTGCAAAGAATAATATAAAATAGGAATTGTGTTTTTAGAACTCAAAATTTCGTTTTTAAGAAAAGTTAGAAATTTTTAAAATCAGTAATGTATCATTCTTAATACATATATTTACATTATATCACTTAAATTCTTATCTATTTAAATTATCTATACTATTTCACCAGAAAATCAGTTGGAAAAAACTGATTTGACAATAGCAAAAAAATGAAACGCTGACACTTATTGGAAGAAAAAAATTATGCATATATTTCTATAATGGAAAAAATATGTAACTACATTGAAATATTTGAACTTTGTAGGTTTTTGTTTTTATAAAATGTTGGACTTTATTGCGGTACGGATATCTACCCTACACACTTGCACCCGCTCGACCAATTACAGAATTTTCTTATTTTGTTTTACACATACAAACATATTAGATATTTTGACATATCAAAGAAAGCTGTTTGCCATTACAAAATATTACAAAGTTTCCATAATTTTTCTGATGCTCCTAAATACTAAAGGAAGGAGCAGCTTTGTTTCTATCTCGTAGTTACACATATTTTATAGTAGAGGTTAGACAGTAAAATAAAATGAATACGCTCCTGTTACGACTGTGACAATGCTTGGAGCAAAGAAAGCGACAAGTAAAAAAAATTTGGCTTCTTTTGATTGTTTTTTCATGATTCCTTTAGTATTTCTAATTGGTTGTTTCCGTATATAGTTTCTGTATTGAAAAATATGGCAATTGTTTGACTCTAATAAATTAATACTTATTAGGTGAGGAAAATATCTGAACTGAAAAGTAGAAAGATTGTATGTTTTATTTTCTTTCATATTGAAGAAAAAAATTTGATTGGTAAAGTCACAGAATATTTAGTTATAAAATTTAAGATTTCATTTGATTTTCATCATAAAATTATAAGTTTTTCCTTCATTTATTCTGTAGAAAATTTGAAACGAAAATCCATACTACATGCAAATACTGATACATATTTTAAATATGTATATATGTCATTTTATAGGGATGGAATAATTTTTTACACTGGCACTCGCTTGATTTTTGTTATTTCGAATTTAATATACAAATCAACATTGCTTTTTTTTTAAAAAAAATTAACTATTTTTAGCCAACGCAAAATAAAAGTGGCAACAAAATGCAAATTGGTGAGAACGCATAATTTGTGTGCACAATCATAATATTTGTTGAAAGAATGGAAGCTACACTAAATTGCGAATTCAGCTGCAGGGTTGATCAGCATTTGAAAATTTCATTGGAGTCAGCTTCATATATGTACATTATCTAACTTCTATTTTTGCCTTACAGCTATTTAGTTAATTTAGTGAGTGATTGTAACGGGGCTGTTGAGGATTTGGCAGTCGAGAAAAAATTAGGCAAAAAAAAAAAACAAAGTTAAGGCTTTATCTTTAAATTGTGTGATAAATATTTAAATAATATAAGGTAAGTTTTAATTATAAATAATTCTATTATATATACTATACTATTATTAATGAAGAAAATTAATTAATTTAATTGTTAAATTTAAGTGATGTGAAAGTTACGTAAGAAAGAAATTTTAAAACGGGAAAGGTGTTATACTTCTAAAATACTTAGGTTCACAAAATAAGGCAATTAATAATTATTTAAACTAAATTTTACAAAGAACAAAGTAATTTTTTACATGTGATTGCTTACGCCATTTGCAAATGTACCAGTTTATCTTTTCTGTACATCATAACGTTCTTAATTTAAAATTATTTCCATTAACAAAGTTATATAATAATTCAATGTCAATATTTCAAGGTGCATTTAGAATAATTTTTTGCTAATTGTTGGTGGTTAAGTAACAATTTTTTAATATTGCCAAATCTCATTTAATATCGTTTAAAAAAAGGATGGTTTTTGTAAAATCTAAAAGTTTATACATGCACGTACGTATATATATATATATGCATATACGTAATGTGTATATGTAAGTATATGTATAAGTACATATTAAAGTATATCCATACTTACGTGTAATGTTGGATATCAAGGACAAAATTTATTTTTTGGCGCATGGCACCAAGTTTAAACTTATATAATTTTTTAAATAGTATGAATTAATAAGTTACATATGTACATACATATATAATTTTTTCTTCAATTTTTAAACCCTTTTTCTATAAATTTAAAATTTAATTAAAGAATGTTTTTAAACGTGCATACATACATATTATGTATGTGGAAAACGTACTTTCTAATTCCCAAAAATTCTTTTGTACACTTAACTATCATATGTTAATAGATCCGCATACGTTAGGTACATATGAAATCACCTATTTATATACGTATGTATGTATAATAGAAAAATTGATAACTAACCGAAAAAAGTATAGGCACAGTAAGAAATTTTATGTTTGAACCGAATTTCTGAAAAAAATATAAACTCTACAGAAAAACACTAAAAGCAAAATTTATTCATTAATTCATTCTTTATTCAATACGTAATAACAAATTTTTAAATTCGTAAACGAAAACTCAAAAAATAATTAAATAAAAATTTTAACGCCAATTCGGTGCGAAAAAAGTATAGGCACAGCACATGTTTTATCTTAATTTATAAAAAAATATTAGTAATTAATATGAAGTAGGCATTCCTTTTCGTTTCAAAACTTCTTTTAGTCTGTTAGGCATTGAGAATTGACTAGATTTTAAGTAATACTTGGTTGAATATTCGCCCATTCGTTTGCTAAAACATCCTTTAATTGGGTCTTAGAGGTAATGTGATGAGTTTCAACCCTTTTTTCTAAAGTATACCATAAATATTCAACGGGATTGATATCTGGAGATTGGGGAGGTATTTTTAGAGTACCGGAAACATTTAATAGTATCCACCCTCTTACAATATGTGCAGTGTGTTTCGGGTAATTATCTTGTTGGAAATGAAAATGATTTCGAGGACCCAAATTGACTGCACTTTTCTTAAGATTTTCCATAAGAATATTTATGTACATCATCTTATTCAGTATTACTTCAATAAACACAAGCTCCCCAACTTCAGATGTGGCCATACAACCCCATACCATTCCTCCATCACCTACATGTTTCACTGTTGCACATAAATTTTCTCTATTCAGTTCAGTGTTACATTTTTGCGACACTTTAATTCGACCGTTGTTGCTGTAAAAATACCGATTTTTGGAATAAAGTTTAAAGAGCAAATTCAACATTTATTCATATTAATTTAAAATTTTCACATTAATTTTATAAAATCATAAGAAATAAAAGGTAGGTAGGTACCTACCTAAAACTACATTACGTAAAATAGCTTTAAGGAAAAAAAAATAATAAAAATTGAGTTATTTCAAAATTAAAATGTCTTGGAAGTATATAAAAAATGTGCTACATCTATTTTTTTTTAACTTATTGTGTCTTGATTTTGATGAGTTATGTATAATAATGAATTGGAAAATTAAATAAAGTTGGGTCAAACCAATGGTTTGTATTGTAGCACTTTTCCCTTCAACAAGTGAAAATACTGCTTTTAAAAACAGTCTATGTGTACCTATCACACTATTAAAATTATTTTCATTCATACACAAAACTCTTTCTAGGATTGCATATTTTTAGGATGACCGATTTATGCAGTCTTTGAAATAAAGCAAAAATTAATATAAAAAGGGGTTAACATAATGCTCGATTCTTCCAGCAAAATGAACTACTTGCCAATGTCTAAAAGCCCCTAAAATTTCAAGCTTCTACAAGCTGGGGTCTAGAAGAAAAACGACATCAAAAATTTGGAAAAAAAGAACTTTAGATAACGGTAAATTTGAACGGTCATTTTGTTTTTCTAAAGTTTAACTGTAGTATACCGCGCTAGGGAAAGCAAGCCGCTGCCTTTCTGCGTTTGCAAAATTTCAAAAATGCTTATGGTTTCATTGCAACAAATAGTTAAAAAAGGTCATTTTTAAGGTTTTGGGGGGTATAACTTCTAGAGGGGGTGAGATAGGTAAAAATTTTGTTCTACGGAAGTAAGTTTCTAGTAAAGATCTATGTACATATAAAATTTCAGCTTTCTATCTTCAAGGGTGTAGAAGTTTTGTAAACAAAAAAAGTGTCCACGGACGGACGGACGGACGGACAGAGTGAAACTAATAAGCACTTTTTTCAAAAAATTTTTTGGAAAAGTGCTAAAAACCATTAAAGTTAGTATGTATTTTCTAAATTCTAAAATAATGAATTCTTTATAAATTGAATATCCTCTTATTCTTATCGCCAATTTGAAATATATATTTGCTTCGCCTTAACTATTTAAGCTTAATTTTTTGTTGTTTAAGTGGGTAGGCACATGTACCTACCTAATTACCAATTCTTATTAAATGGTAAGTCGATCAATACCTTAAAATGAACAAATTTAGGTAGGTCTTAGGTGCCTCTAGGTAAGAAGTTCATCCTACCTTCCTTCATTTTATGAACATAGGTGCATACTATTATATTTCTTACATCTATCTAATCGTAAAAATCAACTTAAGTGGATAATATATTTAACATGGTGAAACTTTAATTTTCAGATTGACGGGAAATTAATACTAGCAGAAGTTTAATGTAGGTACCTACCTACTTTATTTCTACTCTGAAAAATAAATATATCTTACATATGTATACATAGAGTATTTCAGAAAATGACCAAGAAAGAGCTATGGGTTTCACTATTTATTAAGATAAATAGCAGCGAGATTATCTTAAATTTAGGTTATTGATCATAATGTTATTTGTATGAGTTAGATGATATTATGTTTTCTATCGGTCGAACATGTATAGAGTTAATGTATAAATTAACTTTAATAAGTATTGCCTATTATAATATATATACATTTATTGTCCATTTTGTATCACTATTTAAGAAGTTATCTAGATCCCCATTTGGAATTTACAATTTGGAATTTAGTTTTTCTACTAATGGTATAGACTTAAGCCAGGGATGCGATAGCTCAACCATATTTTATTCTTCGGCAAACAACAGAATATGAATGTATAATTGTTTAAGAACATTTAAAGTGAAATGCTTTTATTTATTGTCGTCAGTACGCATTAAGTAATGAATTTTTAATGAACTGTCTTCTGATGCTTTTATTTTTTTTAGCAAAGTACAGAAAAAAATATTCAAAATTTTAAACAAAACCTTTTTTTTATTCAATATTTTTTTTGTATTTTGTTATGACTACATACATCGTAGACACATAATTTAAAATACTGAAAAAATAAACCGACTATTAGTGAATAAAAAACTGAAATTGAGAAAACTTAGAATAAATAAAAAAAATTCTCTTTATATTTACTAAAAAAATTTAATATTATTTAACTTAAATCGTCAAAATTTGTTCATATCATTGACAACCTTACTTCACGATTAAAAAACAGCACTAGCTTTATGAAGATATGGTAAAATTATAGCAACAGTGCAGTCTACCCTACTTAACAACATTTGAAAATTCATCTCAAAAGTTCCAAGTTAAATTTCTAACTTTTAATTGAAATCAGAAATTCGATCGTTTTTGGGAAATCTTCATGACCCATGTAGAAAGAAATTATTTTTTTGTGAGGTAGATAAACTACGTGTTTTTTGAGCTCATAAACTACTTAATTTTTTTTAGCTTAATTGGTTGTATTGAAATACTGGAAGAAACTTGAATGCAGTAAATCCTATCGTAATCACGTAAAGTTGAAATTATTAATATGTACTTTTATTTCTAAATAATTTATAGAATGAAAATTATATGCATTAAAATCCGAAACAAAAATTTAAATTTTTATTAAGAACTAATAATTTTCATTCCGAAGATTTTGTTTTTGAAAAAGACACTGACATAATATGTTAATTATATAAATATATGTACATGGTTCAGTGCATATACATAAACATTTTCTTTTTTAATAGCTGATCAAATGATAACTATGCATATATTTTTAGAAAATTTATACTTTTTCCATCTTCCATATTTTTAGATAATGGGTGGAGGTTTGACAGATCCAGTTGCTTTCTTGAAGGATTTCGCTGCCGGAGGTATTTCCGCCGCTGTGTCAAAAACAACTGTTGCGCCAATTGAACGTGTAAAATTACTTTTGCAAGTACAACATATTTCAAAACAAATTTCTCCTGATAAGCAATATAAAGGAATGATTGATTGTTTTGTGCGCATACCTAAAGAGCAAGGTGTGCTAGCTTACTGGCGTGGTAACTTAGCAAATGTTATTCGATATTTTCCTACCCAAGCCTTAAATTTTGCTTTTAAGGATAAATACAAGCAAGTACGACTTAATATTATTTTTATATAATCAGGCGTGTTATTTATAAATATATATCATTGAAAAGGTTTTCTTAGGAGGCGTTGACAAAAATACACAATTCACTCGCTATTTCATAGGTAACTTAGCTTCTGGTGGTGCCGCTGGGGCAACTTCGTTATGCTTTGTATATCCTTTAGATTTTGCCCGTACAAGGTAAAAATGTAAAAAAACTTCATTGACAAAATTTAACTTTTTTTAATTTCGATTTCAAGACTGGCTGCTGATATCGGTAAAAGTGGCGGAGAACGTGAATTCTCAGGCCTCGGCAACTGTTTAAGCAAAATTTTCAAAACAGATGGTATTGTTGGCTTATATCGTGGATTTGGCGTTTCAGTTCAAGGTATTATTATTTACCGTGCCGCGTACTTCGGCTTTTATGATACAGCTAGAGGCATGCTCCCTGATCCTAAAAACACACCTATTTATATCAGTTGGGCCATCGCTCAGGTAAGATATAAAAAAAATTTGCTTTAATTATTCTAATTAAATATCCAAAATTTTTAGGTCGTTACAACAGTCGCGGGTATCGTTTCATATCCATTCGATACAGTGCGTCGTCGTATGATGATGCAATCAGGGCGTAAGAAGACAGAAATTATTTACAAAAATACTTTACATTGCTGGGCTACAATAGCCAAACAGGAAGGCTCATCAGCCTTCTTCAAGGGAGCGTTCTCAAATATTCTCAGAGGTACAGGTGGTGCATTTGTACTTGTACTTTACGATGAAATCAAAAAATTACTGTAATTTACTAAAATAAAGTAAAATTAATTAATGACGTTTAAATACAATTAAGTAATTTTTTTTATTTAAAAAAAACAAGTTATAATATGAATATATATTAATATTTAAATAAAAATACTTCTAGTAATATACTTTGAGAATCTTAAGTAAAGGTCAAAAATTTTCAGAATTGCATCTATGACGTATCCGCACACAATTTTCTGAGATGTCAACAAAAAAGTTGTCGATGTGTTTATGTTTAATAACGTTATTATGGTTGTGGAACCATTTATTAAAATAAATCACAAAATTAAACATTAAATGGTTATGGAACCATTTTAAGTTAATCGAATATTCACCGAAATGATATGATTAACGAACCGTTAACTTCATTCAAGAAAAAATCGTTTCTATTGAGGTTAAAAAAAAATTATATTTCAATATGTGTGTAGGTTATAAAAACAAAAAGATATTTCTAAAATTTTATTTTTAATTGATATCTTAGTTTATTATTTTATGAAACAATTGGTTTCATGTTTTGATCGAGTGTCGGTTAATTCTATTATAAGTATCCCAGTAATATTAGTGATGATGAGGAAAATGAAAATATTGCAAGGATACGAAGATGTATAAGGATTAATCAAATCCATTGAAGTTACCAGAAACTGAATCAATATAATTGATTTTTTATTAGAGGTGCCAGACCGTTTAACTCCATAGTTCCGTTCACATTTCTTCCAATATACTTTTATTGAGTCCGAACTTAACTATCACAAGCTACGTCCGGATGGCTTTCCATTAGTTTTACAAATTTTGAGGGCTGCTATTGGTTTATTTGTTTTAAACTAAAAATTTATGAGTTAGTATTTTATGTACATACATAAGTAAACATATATAAACGCTACTTTTGTTTTACCATAAAAACAATTATTTTTATTACAAGCTATATATGCTACATATGTATGTATGTATGTATGTAGATATTAAAAAAAGTTAAGTTTTTTTTTAATTACATTTGCCTTGTTATAGATGTTTAAGAATTAAAGTTTGTTTCCTCACTAATGGTTTGTTTTTTCATAATAACCTAAATCATAGTTTTAATATAAAATACGAATTGAAAATCACAAAATTTTAAAAATTACTTCTAACGTTATTCGCCTAGATTTTAATTCGTCATAAATTTTTTAATGTGTGAGGCGTTTCAACAAAACATTTCAGCGTTGGATGTTTTGTCAAATCGTGTAAGCGAAATTTTTTGGATCCATGTTTTATTTCAGTTGGTTTCAGTGCTTTTGTTATTGTTGTTGGTTAATGCGAATTTTTAAAAAGCAAAATGGATAAATCTAGTATGTAAATATGTAGCTAAAACATTTTATTAACCTGTTAAGCGATTAGTTTTTCCTAGACAGCTCGGTTTACTTTGCTGAATTAATTTTAAACGAAGACGTTTTTTGCTTAACTTTAAATTTCATAGCAAATGCAATTTTCTTTTTCGGTATGACGCACATATACGACTTTAACTAAAAAACCAACTTTTGAAATTGACGCATATACACAAGAAAATCTCTTAACAGGTTAAATAACTAGAAATTTTTAAATAAAATACATACAAACATTAAAACAAAATATTTTATTAAAATAACCAATAGAATTAAATACAATGCGTCAAAATTTTTAAGCTCTCAAATACAATTGTATCGAATAACAGATTTTCAAAAAAAAAAATGCATTTAATTTTTTGCTATTTCACTTTAACTGAATTTGCCTTTGCAGTTCTAACAAAGATCTGCAATGGCAGCATGTTTTCGAGGTTTGCTCCAAAGAGCATCCTGTTTTTGGTGGTAGAACTGCAAAAGTTCTGTTGTCCATTCGACAACAGAAAGTATTTTTCTGCTTTTATATTCATAACCCGATTTAGTAGGGAATACAATTCAAACTTTTTGAAACCAGAAGTTTTTTTTGGCGGCGCTGCTTCGGTAGTTCAATTGCAGCGCAATTTTAGCTAATAAGATTTCTCGCAGTCAGAATTGCAAATGCGGATTTAACCTTTTACTTAATGATTCGAAAGAAACTGTTAATGCGATTATTCTTTTACAATGTAAAAGGATCCTCGAAATCCTGTTTCACTTTTTTTTTGTACAAGGACTAGTACTAAGTTAGAACTGAATTATCAAGAACGAAGGTTATTTTGTTTTTTGACAAGTGAAAGCAAGTTGCTTGAGTCATAATTACGTATGTATGTATGTATGTATTTTATTCAAATATTTAAAAGAGAAATTAACGGACTGAAAATTTTGAAATCAGTAATTATTTAATAATCCCCTCTATTATGAACATCGGTATCGGTCGATATATTATCGGCAGTTCTCATCGGTTTTGGGTTTCTTCTGTATTATGAACCGATACCGATAAAAATATTTCAACCGATTAAAAGAAGCTTTTTCATACAAATTTTTGTTTTTGTAAATTGGAGAAAATGTTTTTTTTTCTAATGACATTTGTTTTCTTTCAAAAGTTATTTTCAAAAAATTTTTAAAACTATTTTGAATTTGGTTTTGATGTGCTAAAAAGTTGTAGTAAGAAAATTATTTTCTGTTAAATTTGTAAAATAAAAGTATACATATATCGGGAAAATGTCACGTGCATTATATTTTGAAAGTGAAGAAACGCAAGCTATTCAAAGACGACATATAAGAGATTCAACTAATCCATTGGATTTAGACAACAAAATGTATGTTTATGTACCTATTTTATTTTATTATTTATATAATATGTACACATTTTTTAGGTTTATCCAGAATTTCAGATTATCATTCCTTGCCAGGTTTAAGTCCTCTTCCATTTTTTCTACTAACCGCGCAATTTGTTTTTTGTTGCTTACGATTTTACTCCTAAATAAAATATATGAATAACATTTTGAAAGAAAATAATTTAGAAAAAATGCTTACATTTTAAAAAAGCAATTAATTACACCAGTTTCCTTGATAAAATGAAGATTTTACAAAAAAAAAATCTGTCGTCTAAAAATTTGTACCCGCTTTTAAATCGGTGAAAACCCGACAATTTATCGTTTTCATAATACCAGCTAATACGTTTCCTATACAGGGAAAAAAAGCTTTCCCGACTCCGATAAAATTTACCGATAAACAATGTTGGTAATACAAACACAAAATTTTGCCGATAAATTATCGTTTATCGGCCGATACCGATATACATAATAGAGGGGAATATTGAAACGAAATTGAATCCAGTACTGCATGTAGTAACAAATGCTAGTGCGAAACAAGAATGGCATGATAATAACCTCCACTGAAGAAGAACTGAATAGATGGAAAGTATACTTCGCAGAAACGAACACCCAAGAAGCAGACATAGAAGAAGAACCAGTCATAAATTTCAGAGAGGATGCCACAATCAATCGGGGCCCCTCAAAATTAAGTGAAATATTAGCGGCTACAAGAAAATTAAAGAAAAATAGGACCGAAGCTATCGATGACATACCTACTGAAGACTGGAGTACACTTCTGCAACTGCATTAAGGCTAATAATATACAAGATAAGGCACGAAGAAAATATTGCAAATGATCGGAAAACTGGCACAATTATACATAATTATCCCAGGTCGCAATGCAGAAACTTGAGAGGAATTACAACACAACAGCGTTGTAATTAGAATTCTAGCCCTAATAATATTTTCCAGAATATTGGGAAAATCAGATGCGTGAATCAGAAAAGAACAGCAGGTTTTTGGCAAGGTCGTTCGGTGCGCAGAGTATGCCAAAATATCGAGCAGTTAGTGGAATGGAACAGGCTAACCTATGGAGACACAGATTTTCTGTAAAAATCTTAAATATAGTAAAGTCCCTATATGAAAATGCAGAAACAGTAGTATTGCACAACGGTAGACTAGGTGCTTCAATAACAACAATAGCAGAAGACGGACAAGGATACCCCCTGTCCTCATTACTATTCTTCACTGTGCTCGACAAGTACATGAAAGGAATAGTAGCGCACAGGCGAGGAATAACCTGGCAGATACGCCAGAGATATTGATAGTCATATTGAGCTGCTCAGTTAAAAAAAATGCAAATAACCATCAACGAGCTTAGAGTAAAGGTAGAAGCTTTTGGTCTCCGCATAAACCCAGTCAAGAATAAATGCTACAAGTCAATATATGTACTTACAAAATACCCAAATTGAGGTAGCAGAATTTGGATACTTGTTGGGTGGTATGGAGATGGACACAAATGGCAAGAAGAATCAAGATCAGAATATATGATGCATGCGTATAATCTTGCTGGTCTACGGGAGGTGAGACATGGCTTGTGTCAATAATCAACATTAAAAAATTACAAGTACTCCTGAACAAGTGTCTCAGAATTATGTGCCGCATCTTCTGGGACAGAAGAATAATGAACGAATTATGGGTAATTACAAAACAAGAACTAGTCTGTGTCCAGATAAGGAGAAGAAAGTGGAGATGCACAAGCCACATTCTGAGGCGGCCAACAACATCATTGGCGCGCCAGGCCCTTGAGGGGAATCCGTAAGGAGAAAGGAGTATTGGTAGACCAAGAACAACTTGGAGAAGAATCCAGAAGTTAAAAGAATAGCGCAAAAAAGAGAGTATTGGCGAGGATTTGTGGAAGCCCTATGGAATATCTCAAAACAATGTATAATGTTTAATGAAAGCTCTTAATTTACATTACATTAAAAAAAATTGACATTTACCCCGGTTATATGGCAGTACGACCGACATATTTTTGTTACGTCAGTAATGAATGCTTCGAACGTACTTGAAGCCGACTTCACTCAAGCTAATCAAAAAGTTTTCTTACTTGACTTAAAATGTGTTAAAAATGGCTTTAAATGTAATAGCTGTACGTATTTTCGGGCTTTCAAGATGACATAGTAAAAACGCAGCTTGAGTTCCAAGTTCATTTTAAGTCAATTAACTACTGTTGCTTTTTTTCATAATGCGCTATTTCCCGTAATGCAAAATGTAGCAGTTTCCTTTTTACGCTGGTTCTATTTGCAAAAGAGGTTGAGAAATTTTATCAAATAAAACAAAGTGAAATTTTAATCCCTTATTACTGATCTCACTGTCTTTTTTGATTTTTTCATTTTTTCCTGTCTTTTACAGAAATTATGAAGAAAATGAATATGTTAACATGCCCGCAAATTTGAAGTAATCATAAAAGAAACTGTGTTTTTGAAAATCCAGTTATAACTTTTCTGGTAAACGTAATAAGTGAAGACGTATTATTATGTATTATTCAGCAAAGCTGTGCACGGCATCGGTGAACGACTTCTGTTCTCAACCCAGAACAGCAGTGGATGAAATGTGCAGTATTGTGATATAAAGTGATACACACTTTACAACAGCTTATTTCACGGTTTTCATTGAGTTCTCTTGAATTTGGGCAGTCTTGTTTACATATGTGTATCCTATATTCTGACGTTTTACCGCCGAAAATCGCTCTTGTTCTGTTTTCAACATAAATACTGACTTTGAACATTAGATGCTGCCAATTAGTCATATAGGAAATATGAAAAAATTGGCAATATGATTGGTACTTCCACTTCCGATTTTTTTCATTACTTGACGTAAGAAAGTTTTCTGTTTTTCCTGAGAATTTTCAGTTCAGCAATGAATTTTAAAAACACATAAACTGAAATTAAAAGAAATTTTCTTAAAAACATTCCCAACAGTGATTTTTTTTTATGATTCAGAGGAATGTGAGCCGTACGATCATTTAAACGCACGGCTCATCGAAATACAGACCTAATCCATGGCCGCCGTGATACTTTGTTCAGAATATTTGTTCTCCTATTTGGTGCTCCGTAGTATTGTACTTCTTCTCCTTTTTTGAATTCTCTTTTCGAATATCCTAATATAAACCAATATGCTTCTCTAATTTCTTTAAACTTTCTTTCAAAAGAGTTGATATTTCCTAAAAAAGTTATTAAGAAAAAGTTAATAAAATAAATTATGCCTAATAATATTAATTTTTTTTTTTTAGAAAATATTTTTACTTACCTTAAAAATTTGTAAGGGATGGCCACATAAATGATTTTTCCCTCAATTTTGCTCGAAGCCCGTCAGGTTTTGCTCCACCATTTCATCTTTACTTGACGTAGTATATATGTAAGGCTTCTAAAAGTTATATCAACCGCTAAAGAATCGTAGTAAAAAACATTGTTTTGATATTTGCAAAAATTTTAACCAAAACACATGTTTACGAATGTATGTATGTACATGTAATTCTAAGACTGGAAAAATATGAGGCTTTTCAAATTCGAGTAGCAGCTTCATTATCTGTCATTTTCGTTGGTATTTCTATTTCTACATCTATTGAAACTTCTATATTATTGCTTCTATTCCTGGTGAGAGTACTCCTTGGTAATAATCTGTAGCATTTCTCCGTCAGCTTTATAACTCACATCTCCAACTTGAAAATTGCTAGTTTTTTTACTGTTTTTTTACTTTCAATAGTTTTTGCAGTTTCAATATCATTTTTGCCACGCTTAAATTTTTTTTAAAAATAGTTAATCAATTAATTTTGTAATTTTATACACACCTCAATAACTAAACATCTCAACTCTTTACAGAGTTTCAATTAGAAATGAAAAAAATACAATAGATTTCAAAACAATATAATGCCAAAATTTTTCAATTTTTATTTAAAAACGTTCAACTTTATTTCAAAAACATTCAACTTAAATTCAAAAGAGTTAAACTTAATATCAAAAACGTTCGTATTGAAAATGAACAAATTGTTTCTTATTTTGACAATTTTTGAAGGTATACCAAATATAAAAAATTTAGATTCAAATTAGTTAATTTTTAATTTAAAATTGGAACAATCTAAAATCAAAAATGATATTTTTATTTTGAAGTTTGCATTTTTGATTTGAAAGTGTTACATTGAAATTAAAATATTTCAACTTTATTATGAAAATGTTCATTTTTGATTAAAAAATGTTTCGTGAAAAGTTTTAAAAAATGTTTTATAATGCCACATTTTCATTTCAAATACGTTCGTAATTAATTCTAGAATGCATTTTTTCGCTCAGTGTAGTGACAGAGGAGACGATGGAGGACTTGAAGTTTAGAAACGTACAAGGCTTGCATTCCAATAGGGAAAAATATTAACTTTATTTTATTTTCAGAGTACATGAAAAGAGACCTCGTACTTGTCAGAGCTCGCATTAATGTTGGGGGCAAATCGATCAGTGCAATAGGAAGAGATGCCCACTCATCATCGAATGTGATGCAAATGCACATCGCGAAGCATTGCGAAATAGCAACACCAACACCTGAGTTGAGTCTCTGTTAGAATTTTTAGTTAAAGAAAACCTAGAAATATGTAGGGAATGCAGGTACCGAATATCACGTTTGGCACCCCGCTTTGTGTGTTAGATATCATGTTTGGCGTATATGTGTTCTTGGACATCGAGGAGCCTTTCGACAACACTTCGCATGACACGATTGCCAGGGCCTTGGAGCGTAGTGGCATGAATGCCACCATCTCTTTATGGATGCCCAACATGTTGGCTACGAGAGTTGCAGAGACTGATGCGGTGCAAAGCACCGTTGGAGTTGCCTTGAGAAACTCAATGAATTGGATAGGCGCAACTGGGTCACTCTGTGTCAAGCGACGGGCCTAACACAGAGTTAACTCAAAAATTACTTGAGTTCGCGAGGAGAATAGGTCTTGAGCGAGTATTTTAGAGCATGCTTCGCGTTCAGGTGAGGAGGGAGGGAGGAGGGGCGCAATTTATATGAGGTCGCGGTGCACTGTTATTTCGGTTGTCCAAATCTACAATCTAGTATAAATTTTATTTAATAAATATAATGAGATACGCTAAAAATTTTAGGCCTTTTCATAAACACAGTATATCGCGTTATATAGCAAGAACTGCGCTGTATTTGTATTCATAAACAAATGTTGCTAATCAAGTTTGTTCATAAACATTGTTAACCTATCACAAAAATATTTAAATTATCATAGCTAGCGCAATTAAATCAGCTGTACTTTTTTTTACTTGTTTTTGCAGTTTGGTTTTACATTTTTAATTGTTAAGTGTTGTACTTAAATATAACAAAATTTCTTTTTGTTTCAGTTTTCTTTTTTTGTTTTTCTTAATTTTTTTTTTCTGAAATGGAATTTTTCACTATTTGGTTCAAAATAAATGACTATTTTTTTTAACGACATTTTTTGTTCATGAACACAATACTGCAAATTCAAAATAGCAAAAATTTTTATACAACTGTTAAAAATATATTACGTATGTATCACATTATTGTTTTGCAGTATTGAGTTTATGAAAATGCACTTTATTATCAAATTTCTTAAAATTATTTAAAAAGTTGTTTATGATTTGACTGAACCTAATATCTGTTGCAAACTCTTTGACTTTTTAAATAAATTGACTCTATTTTTTCAAGGAATAATAATAGAATTAACCAATGAAATTTATAAAATAAATTAAATTTGTTCTTGCTAAAATTCATTACTGTAATTAAGACTTCTCCAAATATTTTCTGTGACATCCAAATTACAAGTAAAACGCAAACTTTGCAAAGTTTTAAAGTAAAATGAAAATTTTTTACAATGTTAACTGGTTCAAAATGTTTAATAATTACTTAAACTTTCAAACCATTATAGAATGATAGCATTGAAAATTTGGAACAAACATTTAACAATTTTTTTTAAATTTAATTTTTTTTTACAAAAAAGTAACCCAAAACATAAAAATAAAACTTTGCAATTTTTTTAGTTTATTTAGGTAACATAAATATGTGTTTGTGCGGTGTAAAAATGTTATAAAACTGTAACTGCGTTGTACATGTATGTATGTATAAAATTTAAATTTTTAAATTTTCGGAAAACTTTAAAATTTTTAGATTGATTTGCTTTGTTTTCACTATGCAACTTTCAAAAGAAAGAGTTTTATTATGCTTAATTTAAGATTAAATAGAGAAGCTTGATTCAACTAATTCAACAAAATATCAAAAATATCAAACGGAAAACACAAATTCAGTATAGCACTTGATTAAGCTCCCCAGTAAATAGTTCTTTGATTTTAAAATTCCCTTTTTCTTTACAACAACATATTAAAAGAAACATTTATAAAAATTAAAACCAGGAAAAATACTATACACTTTTTATCACTTTGTGGAGATCTTTCTCACAAAAGGCTCTCCACCCCTGACTTAATTTTGAAATTATTGCACACACCTTCATACACTTTCTTAAATCATTACATATGCGGTTAAACTTGGCTCAATTTTGTTTATATTACCTACATAACGATTCACACACATAACTTATATAATTAACTTTAATTGCGAAAAATGAATTAACTGTACAATTCATTTTTCTCTAATCAAAATTGTATAAAATAATTGGAAATTTTGTACATATTCTTCTACATTAATGTAGTCACAGTACAGTTCAGTTGAAATTAATTTTAAACAGGTGTTATTTAAATTATTAAATTTTATTACATAAAATTTATTTTTTTATTAAAACTTCAAGTTAATTTTTATATTTATCTGATAAGTATTTTTATGATTTAGTAGCTATAATATTATAATAAATTTTATATAATTTTATGTTTATATATCTATAACTTTATGTTTTTATATATTTTATGTTGATATCTAGAATTTAAAATTTTTTGTGTAGTCTGGTGTAGGACAAATAAAACAATGTTCTTTTAACTTTTCACCAACTATACCGATTTCCCTATAACAAACAATTTAAGAAAGTCGTTGAAGAATATTAGGAATAAGAGTGGGCCCAAAATCGATCTCTGAGAAACACCACTGCTAACAACCTTAATAGAACTATATGTATTTTTAAAATTTATAAACTGCCTCCGGTTTGCCTAATAGCTTTCCAACAAAGCGATCGAAAACACCGAAACCCCATAATAAGAAAGCTTTTAATAATAATTGATGATTAATGGTGTCAAAGGTCTTTTTCAAGTCGTCTCAATCATCTCAAAAAAATCAGTCAGGGAGTTCTGCGTACTTATACCCTTTCTCAAACCTTGATCATGATACAAAAAACTATTAGAGACTAAATGATGCTTTAACTTCCTTATAGTTTTGTCGTCATTGATTTTAGCGAATATCGGTCTATAATCGAATATTTTCTATAATTTTTCCTTATCTCTTTCATTAAAGAATTTTAATTATTTCAAAAATATCTATATTATATTTTACAAGATTTTTCCAGTTCATGAACAGGTATACATATAATCTAATAAATAACAAAAACAAAAAAATGAAAATAGCAAAAGAGAATACTGGGTAGATACATTACTCAATTGATTGTACATACTGTAAAACAAAAACAAAAAATGAAAAGCGAAAAGCGAAAAGCGAAAGAGAATAAAAAAAGAGTAGTAATATTTTTTTTGTTTTTTTGCTTTACTACCATAAACAAAAATAAAAAGCAAAAGGAAGCGAAATATTTTAAATGAGTTAAGTAAGAGTGAAATAATTTTTTGTTGTTGAATTGAACATGGAATGGAATTAAAAAAACTAAAACTAAAAATTGTGAGAGATATAAGAACACGAATAATGTTACGTTACGTACTTATCTAGATAACGTTACGTACTTATCTAGATAACGTTGTTTAGAAGGAAATTTTTCGTTCTTAATTGTTAACTAATTCTTAAATTGAATTTTAATCATATCTATGTAATTAACAGTGACACATATTACATCTTAAAATTTATTAAATTAAAAATATTTCCATTACTTTTATTTATCATTAGTATTCAAACCAATATGATATTTATGCATATACAAGTATATACCTGCATATGTATGCCATAATATTTACAAATTTTTCTAAACTTATTTTAAAATTGATTGCCACAATCCTGTTTTTACAACAGATAATGCTGCTTATAAGCAAACCACAGGGGCCCCTAGTGATTACTGAATTGTTGTTTTTAAAGAGAGACAAAAATAGTATAAAGTGCATGTTAGAAAATTAAAAAGTTGGAAAAAGTTTGTAAAGAAAAAGCGTAGGCATATGTTATTACGTGTTTACGTTGTTTTACTTCTAGACTCAACTTTGCCTTAAAAAATGAAATAATGTTACATTTTTATGTTAATAAAATACAATTTAATTTTATTACCGAACGAATTAGTGCATGTTGTCTTTGTTTCATTTTATTATAAAAGTTTCTGAAATTTAAATAATATAAAACAACGCACGTTTCCATACGTTAGCTGACAAAAAACATTTTTTTCGAAGAATTAAAACTTAGAACAATATATGGAAGAATATAATGTCTTTATATCTAACAAGTCCCAATTCTCAGAGAGAAACTTGAAAGCACGACCTTATTTTATATGGGTTTTTTAAATCGAAGTGGCTATTTTTTTAGAAGAAATATTAAAATAAATTCACACTTATCATAAAGCAGGTAAAATTTAGAAAATATATTTGAAAAATCAAAAAAATATATTAATATTTTCATTGATAATTATTTTAAAATTTAAAAAAAGGCGGAAAAACAACAAGCACAACCTTCGCCTTCAACGTTTTATATGTTACTGAAAGCATTTCATTATTTTTAAGTGAACAGTTTTTTTTCTCATAGAGCAAGTTAACTCAAGATGGGAAGTAACTGTAGTGTCAAGTTGAAAATATAATTAATGAA